GGCTGCCCAGACGGAGCGTGTCCGGCGGCGCCCGGCCGCTTGGCGCCCGCGCTTGCACAGTGGGGCTCCTCTGTCCCCCGTGGAGGAGCTGAGGTCCCTCTCCGCCTGGAAGGGGCCCCTGGGGCTACTGCCGAGGTCCCACACACCTGAGGATGCAAGCGGGCCGCTGTTTCCCTGTCAAAATGCACCCCTGCCGGCTGTCTTTTTCTCGTGGGTAAATGGTGCCTATGCAGAGACGCTTGGCGTGTGCACAGATGCTCACACACCCTGAATCTGGCGGCAAGCCGGGCCTTGAGAAGGACTCATGTGCCACTGTGCCACGCGGGGTCCGAAGGGGGCGGGAGGGGAGACTGAGGCCGCCCACCTGTCTCCCAGCAAAGCTTTGCTTTGGCCCTGGGAGGAATCTCTGGTCGAGACGCGTTGCCTGCTGCAGGCCTCAGCCTGGGCAGGAGAAACCGTGGCAGGACGAGGCCCCGCTCCGTGTGGGAATTTACGCTTCGATGCATGCACTCTGCACCCACCACAGGGCTCCTTCCGAGCAGCCCTGCCCTCCACCACCAGGAAGAGGTGGTTGTTGTTGTTGTTAGTCGCGAAGTCGTGTCCGGCCCATCGCGACCCCACAGACAACACTCCTCCAGGCCTTCCTGGCCCCCACCATCCCCCGGAGACCACCTAAGCTCTCGCCGACTGCTTCAGTGACCCCATCCAGCCCCCTCATCCTCTGCCGCCCCCTCCTTCTTTTGCCCTCAATCCTTCCCAGCATCAGGCTCTTCTCCAGGGAGTCCTTCCCTCTCATCAGGTGGCCAAAGTATTTGAGCTTCATCTTCAGTATCTGGCCTTCCAAAGAGATGCCAGGTGGCTTTTCCCAGGAACATGGCTGGCCCAGGGGCTGGGGGCTGGGGGCTGGCCCTCGTGCCGTCAAACCCTGGAATAGCAGAGCTGGCAGGGGCCAGGAGGCCTTCAGGTCCAGCCCCTGCAGTTGCAGGACACCAGTTCACCCACCCCCTCAGAGGACGGTCCGAATGCTTTTTGGAGAGCCCAGGTCATAGGCCCCGTTGCCACGCTGCTCTGACAGAAGGGCCAAAGTACTTGAGTTTCATCTTCAGTATCTGGCCTTCCAAAGAGCAGTCAGGGTTGATCTCCTCTAGCACTGACCGCTTTGATCGCCTTGCGGTCCAAGGGACTTGCAGAGTCTCCTCCAGCACCACAATTCAAAGGCCTCAATCCTTCGGCGCTCAGCCTTCCTTGTGGTCCAGCTTTCACAGCCATGCATTGCAACTGGGAAAACCATCGCCTTGACTATGCGCACTTTTGTTGGCAGGGTGATGTCTCTGCTTTTTAGTATGCTGCCTAGATTTGCCATAGCTTTCCTCCCCAGGAGCAAGCGTCTTTTAATTTCTTGGCTGCAGTCCCCGTCTGCAGCCAAGTGATCTTGGAGCCCAGGAAGATAAAATCTGTCACTACCTCCATTTCTTCCCCATCTATTTGCCAGGAAGTGATAGGACCGGATGCCATGATCTTAGTTTTCTCAGTGTTGAGTTTCAAGCCAACTTTTGCGCTCTCCTCCTTCATCCGCATCAAGAGGCTCTTTAGTTCCTCTTCACTTTCTGCCATGAGAGTGGTATCATCTGCATATCTGAGGTTGTTGATATTTCTCATGGCAGTTGTAATTCCAGCCTGTGATTCATTCTCGAGATTATCCTTTATCTTATTTCTCTTTTCCACGGAATTTGCTATTCCACCCAGCTTTATTTCATCTGCAACCGTAAATATATTTTCTTGTGCTTCCTCATGCAAATCATTGATGCAAATATCGAAGAGGACAGGGCCCTGCAGCACCCCACTTGCCAGCTCTCCCCAGTCTGAGGAGGTGCCACTGATGAGCACCCTCTGGTCTGGTTTTGCAGCCGCCTGTGGATCCACCTCGCCATTCCCCTGTCTAGCCCGCTTTCTACATAGAAACACAGAAGCAGAGCGAGGCGGAAGGGGCCTCCCGGGCCATCTAGTCTGACCCCCGGCTCCAGCCGGCTCTGCTCATGACATGCCCACCATGTGCCTGTCCTTGGACACCCGCACCAATGGGGCCTCAACCGCCTCCCAGGGAAGCCCATTCCACCCCCTCGGGGTCCTGACTGTCAGGAAGTGCTTCCTGGCATCCAAACTGAACCTTGCCTCCCTGAGCTTGGCTCCGTTGGAGCGCTAGTTTGCTAGTTTGGTAATTTTTGTTAGTTGGGTCATCAGGATGTTGTGGGGAACTTTGCCAAAGGTGTTGTCCTAAGCCCAGTGTGAACGCTGTTGTTGCGCGAGCCATCAGGTCGTTTCTGACTTGTGGCAGCCCCATCAATGATGCCTTCCCGATCGCCTGTCCTTGGCAGCCCTGCTCAGCTCTTGCGCGTTCAAGGCCGCAGCCTCCTCGATGGGGTCAGCCCATCTCCCATTTGATCCTCCTCTCCTGCCTTTGCTTCCCCAGCACGATCGTCTTCTCCGTGGGTCCGTGCTGGTACCTTCTGCTTTTGTAGATGCTTCGTAGATTGATCCCATCAGCTAAGGGTGCGATCCTGTGGCCTCACTATGTTGCCTGGGGGGCATAGGATGTTTTGGAACTGGGGTGCTGAAGTCCTGCCCTCCCCCCACCTCCTTGTGCTGGACATGGAAAGAACCGCACGGCTGCTTCTCCAAGGACACAGCAGACCTCAGAGAGAACAAACAGGGGTGCGGCAAGTGGGGAGGGGAGGGGAGTGGGCCTATTGGCCTATGCCGGCCCCCCCCCCCACCTCCATCCCTCCGGCCCGCCAGCACTGCACCTAGACGGCCAAAAGCAGCCCTCCGGAGCAAATCCAGCAGCAAGGTGGCCGCTCGCTCTGTGCACAGGATGCGTGCGATCCAGGCCACCTTGGATTGCGCCCGGGGGGCGGGGGGTTCTGCCTCCCAGAGTCGGCTGCATTTCTCTCGAGGGTCCTGAGCAGTGTCTGCACAGCCGGACATCTGTGCCCGTACAGCATGTTCGGTCCGTCCCCGCAGGATGCGTCCCACACATCCTGGCGATGGCCTCCACCTGGTCTGGCACCGTGTGCCGGCGGAGCGAGAACGAGCCACCCAGGCAATGCTGAGCGGAGAGAGCGGGGAAGGACGGGCCGGGTGCCGCTTCCTCCCTTCGGGCTGCAGCAGAGGGCAGGTATTTTTAGAGGGGTGGGTGGCAGGCAGTGGGGCGCTCTGCTTTTCCGTTTGCATCTGCTAAGCCAAGGGCCGTGCTAGTCCAGGATGATGGGAACAGTAGTTCAGCCCACCTGGACGGCTGTGCTAAGCAGGTTTTGGAGGCTTTCGTCCAGCTTCAAAACCCATCAGAATTCCAGAGACAAAAGGCTCGTCTGGGGAGGTTTGCTCCCTCGAGATTTCCAGCGCTGTGGAAGTGTCTTGTGCCTCTCTGGCCTGCAGACTGGGTCTCCCCGGACTGCCGGCGGTCGAGTGCTGGTGCAGGGCTGATACCATTAAATCTGATCCTCAGGGGCTCAGACAAAAGTGAAAAATGTGGACAGCCGCTTAACATCAAGAAAACAAAGGTAATGATGCCTGCGGAGAACCAGAGTGCAGAACAACCACAAGAACACAGAAACAGTAAAAGAATTCAACATCCTAGCTCTGAAATCGACCAAAGCGGTGACTGCCGTCCTGCGATCAGAAGGTGCAGAGCACTTGGGAGAAACGCGGTGCCTGGAAGAGCAGCGGTTTCAGCCTCCCGACCAAATGCTGATTAGCCCCCGGGATGCCCGTCCGTGGCTGCTGGGGGGCTGGGGTCCCACCCCCTCGAAGCCGGGCTGCCCATGCCAGTGGATCAGAGCACGGTCCCTGCATCCTCGGACTGGGGCTTGCACCCGGGACCTTCTGCGAGCAATGCCCGTTCTCTGCCGCTGGGCCAGGCCCCTCCACGCGTTCTGTTCTTCTGCAGCTTCTCCCGGCCGTAAGCCTGACGGCCGCTCACTTTGGAGTCACGGGTTCCGGGAGCATCAGCCGCCCTTCCCACTCGCCGGCTCGGCCCATGCTCCACTCCTGGGCTGGCACCAGGGACGTGACCTCACACGGCATCGGGCAGAGCGCCAGGGGACGCGAGAGGCCCCGTGCCGGATCCCGGCCAGGCCGCCTCCGGGGTGACATCCTGTTTCCCACGCTGGCCGGCCGGATGCTGCAGGAGGCCCATGGGCAGCCCTCTCCCGCACGGCGAGCCAGCCGGCCCCGGGGCCTCGAGGCAGCCCCAGCGGCCACGCTTTTGCCCAGCCCTTCTTACGGCCGCCCACGCCGGCCTGCCGCTTGGGCTAGCAGATTCCGTGGTTGGAGGCCGCACCGTTTGGAGGAAGGCTTCCCTTCACCTGCCTCCTGCGCCCCCACTGAGCTGTGCCGTTCCAGCAGGCAGAGGGAGGGCGAACCAGGCCCCTCCACAGCAGCCGTGGCGGGCAGTCGCCAAGGCCCTGGACTCACGCCAGCCTTGCAGCGCCGTGACCCACTGGCCTGCCTCCCTAGTTCTGGCCCAGGTGCCGGCGCCAGTCTCGGCACGTGCTCCCTGGATCTCGGCTCGCCAGGCAAGCGAGCGGGAGCCGTGGGGAGGAAGAGGAGGGAGAGTGGCTGGTGACGGGGGGGGGGGCAAGGGGGGCTGCAGGAGGGCCTTCGGATTCTTGCACTCAGCGCCAGTCTCCCAGTCTCTTTGCGTCACACCAGGCACGGCGTGGAACCTCTCCGCCTGCCTGTTTGTAGCCCGAGGGCCATCCTGGGCCGTCGTGAGGGCAAGTCAGCGCCTCTCTGCAGAGCATCCAACCCAGACGAG